GGTCAAATCCCTCCCTCTCTGTTTCGTTTGTCCAATTTACAGTATTTGAGTCTTTCTGCAAGCAATTTAAGTGGTCAAATCCCTCCCTCTCTATGTCGTTTGTCCAATTTACAGTATTTGAGTCTTTCTGAAAACAATTTAAGTGGTCAAATCCCTCCCTCTCTGTCTCGTTTGTCCAATTTACAGTATTTGAGTCTTTCTGAAAACAATTTAGCTGGTCATATCCCTCCATCTTTGGGTCTCTTGTCTAATTTACAGTATTTGAATCTTTCTGAAAACTATTTAAGTGGTCAAATCCCTCCCTCTCTATCTCGTTTGTCCAATTTACAATATTTGAGTCTTTCTGAAAACAATTTAGCTGGTCATATCCCTCCATCTTTGGGTCTCTTGTCCAATTTGTCAATTTTGGATCTTAATTCAAATAACTTGAATGGTTCTATCCCTCCAAATTTAGCATGTCTATATAATATGTGGGAATTAGATCTTAGTAATAACAAAATAACTGGTCGGATCCCTCCATCTCTGTCTCGTTTGTCCAATTTGCGGAATTTGTTTCTTTATGAAAACAGTTTAATAGGTCAAATCCCTTCATCTCTGTCTCGTTTGTCCAATTTGCGGAATTTGTTTCTTTATAAAAACAGTTTAATAGGTCAAATCCCTCCATCTCTAGGTCTCGTGTCCAATTTGTCAATTTTGAATCTTAATTCAAATAACTTAGATGGTTCTATCCCTCAAAATTTAAGAAATCTATATAATTTGTGGGAATTAGATCTTAGGAAAAACAAAATAACTGGTCGTATCCCTTCATCTCTATCTCACTTGTCTAATTTGCACTATTTGAATCTTGGTTCAAACAATTTACAAGGTTTCATTCCTTCTGAAATAGGAATTATGACTCATCTATCTTTGTTGAATCTTAGTACTAACAATTTCACTGGTTCAATTCCTTTCACCATACTTCATTTACCCAATCTGCAAACATTGTGTCTTGATTCAAATCTTTTAGAAGGTTCAATACCCAAAGAGATTGGGCATTTGAAATCTTTGTAGTATTTGGACCTTTCCCGAAACAAATTGTGTGGACACTTCCCAACACAGCTTGCGAATTGCTCCCTTTTAAAAGAACTGTATTTGAGCCACAATTCCATGGGTGGAGACCTCCCATCTGAAATAGGAAAGATGAAGAATCTATTTATTTTAGATCTTAGTGCTAACCATTTCACTGGTCCCATTCCTTCCGCTTTAGGTCATTTAACCAATTTGGCTATCTTGTATCTTGATTCAAATCATTTGAAAGGGTCAATACCTTCAGAACTTGGGTATTTACTAGACTTGAATAGAGATGGCTTGAACCTCAGTTGCAATAATCTCATAGGCCCAATCCCAGAAACTTTGGCTCATTTTCCATACAACTCTTTTATAGGCAACCCAGGTTTATATAGAAGCCCCGCTACTTCACCTTCTCCTTTCACTCAACATAGAAAAAATTCCAACAAAGTGATGAGACATATTAAAATTATTCTTAGCACCATTTCTCTTGTGTTGGTATCTCTAGCATTGTTGTTACTTTCTCGAAGAGTAAATGGAGCAAAAAGTAAGGAAGCAATTCTAATTTCGACAACAAATGGGGATATGTTCTCAATATGGAACTTTGATGGGAGGGTTGCATTTGAAGACATTATTGCAGCAACTGAAGATTTCGACCTTCGGTATTGCATTGGTACTGGTGGCTATGGTAGTGTTTACAAGGCACAATTGCCAAATGGCAAAGTAGTTGCCTTAAAAAAACTTCATCGGAGGGAATCAGAGGTACCCACTTTTGACAGGAG